CTGGCCCTGACTGTCCCATTTTCCACTCAGGCCTTCAGAGCATTGATACTAGATAACAAAATAGCATCCTTGCCTGGGGCTTTTTAGAAAAACATCTGCCTTTTCTTGGAACATTCTTTTAACCTTTCCACTCACTGAAGCAGATTGAGATTTAGCACTCTATTTGTTGTAATACTCATATATGACTTTCTGCTCTCCAAAGTTGGATGATTATCTCTGCCCTAATCTCTTACTGTATTAAACTCATCTTGTAGTTAGGTGATAAGTGGAATGACCCCTATCCAGAGAGCACATGGACTACGTTTTATGACAATACAACACAAACAATGCACTGTGAAGGGTCAAGTTTAAAGAGGGTCTTTTTTAATACAGAGGTGTCAGGGCCTTTACCAGAGGGAGGTCTTAAAAAACAGAGAAAGGGAGTTTTCCCAGAGAAAATCTGGCAATCTGAAAGTACAATGTGCTACATTCTCTATTGTAGATTGCCTTTCCCTAGATGCAGACCTAGAAGATAGGATTCCTTCCTGGGACAGGGGTCCCAGGAAGTACTTTCAGGTAAGGAAAGCAGCTTGTAGCACAGAAGAAAAAAAATTTAAAAAACACACATGATCATCTCAATTGGTTCTGAGAAAGCATTTGACAAATTTCAATATTTTCCATGATAAAATTCAACACTGTTTGAATACTCAACCAACTAATAATAGAAGAAAATGACCTCACCATTACAAAGGTTGTATATGAAAAAATCACAGCAAATATCATATTCAAAAGTGAAGCTTTTTCTTTAAGATCTTGAATAAGAAGAAAATGTCTGCTGTTACCATTTCTGTTCAGCATAATATTGTAAATCCTAGCCAGAGTAATAAGGCAGGTAAAAGAACTAATAGTCATCCAAATTTGAAATGAATAAGTGAAATTATCTCTAATCACAGGTGACACATTCTTGTATGTAGGAAACTATAAACATTCCACAATAAACCATTAGAACGAATAAATTCAGCAAAGTAGCAGAATACAAAATCAAAATTTAAAAATCCATTACATTTCTATGCACTGCCAATAAATAATCCAGAAAGGAAATTAAGGAAACAATTTCTTAAAAATATTATCAAAAATTATCAAATACTAAGTGTTTAACTTAAGCAAGGAGCTGAAAAACTCGTACACTGAAAACAACAAAACATTGCTAAAGGAACTTAGACTACACATAAATAAATGGAAAGATGCCATGTTCATCTATCGGAAAGCTTACTATTATTAAGATGTCCATTTTACTACAAGCAATCTACATATTCAGCACAATCTTTATCAAAATTGCAATGGTATTTTTTCAAGAAATAGAAAAATCCATTCTAATATTTATATGAGATCTTACAGAACCCAAATTAGTGGGTTTCAAAATTTTCTATAAAGCTACAGTAAAAATAAACAAAAGACACAACTGTGTGTTACTGGCATAAAGACAAATATATAGACCAATAAACTAGAATAGAGAGCCCACAGATAAATGTTTATGTATATGGTATATGATTTTGGACTGTATATCCAAATGCTAAAGAATGAAGTTGCACCCTTACCTAATGCCATGTACAGAAATTAACTTAAAATATAACCAAATCTACAAGTAATAGCAAAAATTATAAAACTTTAGAAGAAAATATAGGGGGAAAGATTCATGACGTTGAATTTGGCAATTATTTCTTGGAGATGGTACAAAAGGTACAACCAATAGAAGAAAAAAATTGACATTGGATTTTATTAAAATTCAAAACTTTTGTACATTAAAAATACTATTATTAAGTAAAAAGGCAACCCACAATTTGGAAGAAATTATGTGCATATCACATATCTGATAAGGGATTAATATCTAAAATACATTAAGGACTCCTGCAACCCAGCACCAAAATCAATCCAATTCAAAAATAGACAAAGGATATGAATAGACATTTATTCAAAGAAGATGCACAAGTCGAAATAAGTATATAAAATGATGCTCTACATTATTAATCAATAGGAGAATAGAAATGAAAACCACAGCGAGATTCAACCTCATACTTATTTGGATAGCTATTATCAAAACCACAGAAAACAACAGGCTTGGCATGAAGGTGGAGAAAATGGAACCCTTGTATTTTGCTTGTGGAAATGGCAAATGGTACAACTACGATGAAAAAGGGTACGGCAGTTTCTTAAGAAGTTAAACAAAGAATTATTATTTTATACAGCAATTTCACTTCTGGGTATATACAGCAAATAATCGAAAGTGATGACTCAAACATATTTGTACACCCATGTTCCTAGAAATATTTTTCAAAGAGCCAAGGTGGAAACAATGTCCACTACTGAGTGAGTAAATAAACAAAAGATGGTATAAATATAGAATAGAATATTATTCAGGCTTTGAAATGAATGAAATCCTGATATATGTTTCAACATGGATGAATCTTGACATGGCAATTGAAAGAAGCCATCCACAAAAGGTCAGATATTGTATGATTCCACCTACAAGAGTTACCCAGAATAGTCAAATGTGGAGGCAGAAAGCAGAACAGTGGTTACCAGAGGTTAAAAGGAGGAGAGCATAGAGAGTTACTATTCAGTGTGTCTGGAGTTTCAGTATGGCCTGATAAATATTCTGGCAATGAACGGTGGCGACAGTTACACGACAAAGTGAATGCACGAAATGCTACTGAACTTTATACTTAAAAATAGTTAAGATGGTACATTTTATATTATGTATATTTTACCACAATTAAAAAACAAAACTTAGCTGACCATATAAGAGTGGGTCTATTTTTGGACTCTTTATAATGTTCCATTGACTCATATGCCTGAATTTATTATAATATCACACTGTGTTTATTATTAGAATCTTATAGTAAGCTCTGAAATCAGGTAAAATAAACACTCCAACTTTGCTTATTTTATTCAAGAGTGTCCTGGTTGTAGGTCCTTATATTTCCATGTAAATTTTGGAATCAACTTGTACATATCTACGAAAATATTTTGGGGTTTTGACTGGTTTGGGGTATTTGGAAAGATGTCACAGCTTGTCAATATTTACCTTCCAAATTATGATCATGTTTTATTTCTTCATTTATTTGTTTTAATTTCCTTCAGCATACTTTTATAGTTTTCAGGATATATATCATATACTTTGTTAAATTTGTTCCTAAATGTATTGTCTTTTTGAGGTATCGTGGATTGTATTTTTATTTTATTTCTAGTTGCTTGCAGGTAATTTTAGAAACATAATTAGCTTGGGCTATTGTCCTTATTCCCAGCAACCTGGCTAAATATTTGTATTATTCTATCTTTTGTAGAATTCTTAAGGTTTTCTATGCATACCATCCTAGAATCTGTAAGTAAAGCCACTTTGCCTCTTCCTGTATAATTTTTGTTGTTTATATATAATTTTGACTTACTGTAGGAGCATAGTAAACAACATCAATTAGTGAGCCAAGATATTACCCTTGATTTCCTTTTAATCTCAGAGAGGGTGTTCAATGTTAACTCACATATTAATGAGAGGCTTTAGTTAGATGACAGTTGTCATACTAAGAAAATTCTTGTCTATTCATATCTTGCTGAAAGTATTTTGTAATGGATGTTGAATTTTGTCAAATGCTTTTTTGCTTGTTGACAATGCCATAAGATGTTTCTCCTTAATTCTATCTTCATTCTTCCCAACATCTGAGCTTTATTTATATGCACAATTATTTTTAAAAGAGAGAGTAGGTCTATGTGTATCAACTATTACTGACTGTGAAATTTAAAATCATTAATATTATTTCAATATTGAGGTACTAAATTTTACTGATTTTATTTCTGTGATCTGGCACCAGTGTGATATATTTATTCTAGAGGGTTATATGTCTCATGCCACTTCTCTATTATTAACCAAAGGGAAGGAAGGACAACCCCTTGGGAACAGTTTAATCAGCCTTGACATCCAGGCCCATGATTCAGAATGATTTAAATGGTCTGTGACAAAAGAATAGTTAACAGTCTGCAAAATGTCCATTATCTTTAGTTGGCAAAGGCCTATTGATTTAGGGCTTTGTGTGACTCCAACAGGGTATTAGTAAGAAGTGACGTGAGAACTGGAGTTCAGCATTATTCACCACCAACTAAACACTCCAAGGTAAAGCTGTTAATAAGGTGCAAATTAAATATTCATGCTAAATAGCTGCAGATGTTTGGGCAAAGCAGGGAGCAGACTACCTGGTACTGCCTATCATCTTATTCTGAGATCACATAAGGCAGCGTTGTTACAAAGATGCCTTTAAGGGTGTTATTACACAATGAATGATAAACTCCAGAACTTGTTTTATGATGATGTCTTTTTGTAGAATAAAATCTAATCTCATGGAAGGATGTCTTCACAGCTACACTGCCTAGACATGAGTAAGTATAGCACTCATAAGTAAGTTTTGCACTGTAATTTATGGCTCTTTCTGAAGCTAGATTAGCAGCAGTGTAATGTATCAATGGGTTGGAGCATTACAGAAAAGAATTTGCACTTGGGCATAATTCCATTAGGGAGGCCCACAGAATCATTCAGTCACTATCCCAGGGGAACATCATTCAGGCTGAGTTCAGTGACTTCTGTCTGAAGCCTCCTGCTTCATTGATGCTGAAGGATGGGCCCCACCCTGGCATCACCCTGGCATGCAAGATAAGACCAGGGCAGAGGACATCAACATGTACAGTTTTCAAATGTGGAATGATCAGAAAATGTGAGTGTCACTCCCATCATATGATGACAGCTAGGATTCATAGACAACAGGCTGAAGATAGACCCAAAATGTGTGTTCAGGGATCCCGGGCAAGACTGTCATACAGGGCAACTGCGTACTTAATGATGTAGGCAAAAAAATACAGGCAGAATCATCGACTAGTCGGCTGAAAGAAAAACATATTTAAAATGGTCTGTGAATAAACATTTTGATTAACAAAAAACAAACACAAAATTTTCAACAGAAGAAAAAGCTACTTACACCAGAATAGAAAGGCTCACCAGACACACATATCACATCCTGTTCCTGGATCATCAAAATATCTTTGGCTAAGTGCAGCCGGACTTTGAAAGGCTCCTGGTTACCATCCTGCAGCAAACAAATTCCTGTCTTTGTCTTCAGATTAAAAAAAAGAGAGAGAGAGAGAAATATTTACTTAGTTTATAGGTTGTAATTTTGTGGCCAATTTACAGCAAAACATGGTGAATATCATTTAAGAGGCGGTGAAAGCACACTCTCATGAGTCTGAAATTGAATATTGAATATGGGTACAAGGTGATCTCTCAGATAATTATCACGAAATTCACACAAAGATGTGTGGGGTAAGGCTTATAGTACATGCACTACATTTTTAAAATAATGAGAGTTTTGCTTAATAATTGTAATCTAAAAATTTAAACGTAATAGCTTTGTTGAGATATAATTCAGATTCCTTACAATTCAACCCTTTAAAATGTAGAATTCATGCTTTTAAATATAATCAGTGGTGTGCAACAATCACTATAATCAATTTTAGAACATTTCCATCACTTGAGAAAGAAGGCACAGGCTCCTATTTCTCCATTCCCCCTCCCACTGCCCCAGCCAACTCTAAACTCCACTACTTCAGCATTGCTAGTTACAAGCAAACATATGCATGCATGCATATACACATGCACAGACATGCATGAAAACAAAATGCATGAACAGGAACACACACACACACACACACACACACACACACACACACAAGTTTATACCTAGAAGGAAATAAGAGTAACAAGATGAAGTAAACTACCCAAATTAACACACCTAGTTAAAAACAGAGGAGTCTAGTTTAATTTTTTATTTTTTAATTTTTATTTATTTATTTTAAAGATGGGCTGGTCTTGAACTTCTGACCTCAGGTGATCCACCCACCTTGGCCTCCCAAAGTGCTAGGATTACAGGCGTGAGCTACGGCGCCCAGCCAGGTTTAAGACCAAGATTTTTTTTTTTTTTTTGAGACAGAGTCTCGCCCCATCGCCCGGCGCCAGGCTGGAGTGCTGTGGCACGATCTCGGCTCATTGCAACTTCCGCCTCCTAGGTTCAAGCAATTCTCCTGCCTCAGCCTCCCGAGTAGCTGGGACTACAGGCGCGTGCCACCACGCCCAGCTAATGTTTTTGTATTTTTAGATCCAAGATTTTTGATGCCTAATCCAATATGTTGACTTTACATACTTTGAGGAATTGTGAAAATACACTAAAGATTTCTGAATTTATACTATGTAGCTTTGAACCAGCACCTTAGTAATCACCAAAGAAATCCGTAAGTCTTGTCAGTTATCCAGAATATGCATATTAATCCCATTAATATAAATATTCTCCCTAGCAAGCACACTTAACATTCCCATTTGTCACAGACACAAAAGGTAATTCCTTTGAGGTAGAAGAAAATCTTTAGCTCTTATTCTGTACCAAAAAGTCCACAGGAATAATGACCACTTCAGAGATGACATTTTCATTTAATAATTATCTAGTCATTCTTAAGATAGTGGGAAAATGCATAGGAATATATATTTATCCTCAGAGTTAATTAATTAATTTTTTTAATTTTTAAAAATTAGCACACAGTAATTGTATGCATTCATGGTAAACAATGTGATGCATGTATATTTTGTGTAATTATCAGATCATGATAATTAGCATATACATAAACTCATACATACATGTACTTTAAACATTAATAAGGTATGTGTTGTGAGAACACTCAAAACCCTATCTTCCAGCTATTTGTGATATACAATCCATTACTGTTCCCTGCGGTCATCCTACTGTGCTCTAGGGTAACAGAGCTCATTCTTCCCATCTAACTGTAACACTGTGCCTGCTGACCAACCTCTCCCCAACTCTGACCCTTCCATGTGCCCCACTGTGTGGTAACCACGATTCTACTCTCAACTCCAACATCACTATCAGGAAAATGCAATACAAAACCACAGTGTGATACCACCTCACCCAAGTTAGAATGGTGACTAACAAAAAGGCAAAAAGTAACAGATGCTGGTGAAGATGAGGAGAAAAGCTAACTTATCACTGTTAGTGGAAAGAAGTATATCCTTTACAGAAAACAGTATGAAGTTTCCTTAAAAATTAAAAACTGACCCAGGAATTCCATTACTGGGTCTATATCCAAAGGACCTGAAATCAGTATGTCAAAGGGACACCTGTACCCCCAAGTTTACTATAGCACTATTCACAGCAGCCAAGATATGAAATCAACCTAAATGCCCATCAACACATGAATGGATAAAGAAAATGTGGTACTTATACACAAGGGAACACTACTGAACCACAAAAAGGTATGAAATTCTGTCATTTGCAACAACATAGATAAGGTTAGAGGACATTTTGCAAAGTGAAAATTGCCAGGTGGGGAAAGACAAATATCATATTATTTCACTTATATGTGAAATCTATCCTTAAATTTAAGGAGCACACTATCCCTGGCAAATGATACCAGATTTTTTCTTGGAATTTTCATGGCTATTGCTGGGAGTCTGATCCCATATTACAGAGTAGTAAAAGAATACTCTATAATATTGTTGGGAATATATTCATATACTGCAGCCTCCAAAGATAACTCTTTCTCTAAACTGCTTTTCTTCCCATGTGCTGATGCATATTAATTTGTCCTCTATTACATACTCTTATATTAGTCAAGAATTATTTTGTAAAAGTTATTAGGTCTTTTTAGGAAAAACAGAAGCTTTTTCATGAACAAGGACAGCGTTTTTTCTTCATTGATGGCACTGGAACGCAAGTGCTCATGAAACCAGGCTGACTAACCTGGACAATATTTCAAGTGGATAGATCTTGAGGGAAAAAAATCTTTTAGCACAAGCAGATTATACTTTCCCTAATATAGAACATAATTTTTCTATGTTTTTACACAAAGTCACTCATGCTTACAATGGGATATTGGAGAGGGGCCAACATGGAGTCATTCTGAGTGATAAAGCCACTCTGAAGAGTGGAAATATGAAATAATACATCAAAGCCAAGTAATCATAAATGAGCACATTTGCTGATTTTCAGTACAGTACATTCCAGGACATTTTTCCCCCAGAAGTGTAACGGAACAGCTGGTAATCACAAATAATGCTCTGTTTGAACTTCAGGATGAGAAGAGAGTTTTCCCTGAATGCATCAGAAATATACTTTTGGTACACATCAAAGAGATGCTAAGAATCATCAGGGAAAGTTGATGAAAGAAAGCTATGAGAGTGTTCCCATTTAATTTCTATATGGCCAAAGCTAACATTCACTCAAATAATGTGCAAAATGTTCACAAATTATTAGATACTTCTCTGGAGCTCAGAATACAGCCTTTGAATTTGCTCTTGGGGCCTGAACGGACAAGAATTGCCAAAAATAAAGAACGATTAGGATTTTGTTAGAATAAAACACAGAAGTATACACACACTCGCACACTCACATATGCACATTCCAATAAATAGCTGCTGGAAAAAGCAGCACACAAAGACCTAAAATAGGTTAAAATACCTTTCCGGGGGCTAGAGGTGTTACATATGTTCTAACATGGAAATTCAGCTGGTGCACATGAAAATACATTTAAAATCCCACACATTCATTAATTTTGCAATTATTGTGCCGCATTAACAGACAATCAGAGAAGAATTAAACAGCAGTCCCTGACCTCATAGTATTCGTACTTATTTTATCTTTTTTCTTGAGAAGGAGTTTCGCTCTCGTTGCCCAGGCTGGAGTTCAGTGGAGCAATCTTGGCTCACTGCAAACTCTGCCTCCCTGACTCAAGCGATTCTCCTTCCTGAGCCTCCTGACTAGATGCGATTACAGGTGCCCACCATCACACCTGGCTAATTTTTTGTATTTTTAGTAAGAGATGGGGTTTCACCACCATGTTGGCCAAGTTGGTCTTGAACTCCTGACCTCAGGTGATCCACCCGCCTCGGCCTCCCAAAGTGCTAAAATTACAGGTATCAGCCACCACAACTGACCTCATATTTATTTTGAAAGTACACATCTGGATCCGATCCAAGATGGCCGTTTAGGAACAGCTCAGGATTGCAGCTCCCAGTGAAAGCGCAGAGGGTGAGTGGACGCCGCGTTTTTATTGCCCACAGACTAGGAAATTCCCGGGCAGAGGAGCTCCACAGTCGCCAGCGCGGCTGTTTCGGCCAGCGCCGCTGCTCTGCCCCGCGCGGCTGCTTTGTCGGCGCCCCGGAGCCGCGGTTCTCCGTACAAAGTACACCGGTCCGGGGGCCCTTTTGGCTGGCGATTGGAGCCACGGGAAGTCGCCCATACACTGGTTCAAAAAGGGGACTGAGCAGAGAACCAGGACAGTAGATTCCAGGGCAGAAAAAAAAAAAAAAAAAGCGCCACAAACCTCAGTGCCGCTGTTTAAGCCAGCGCAGTGAGTGGCCGCAGGGGAAAACAAACAGACCCCGGCGCCTCTTCAACAGGCGACTGGAACTCCAACTTAAAAAAGGCTCTGAGGCAGGGAGCCAGGCGATCAGGCTCGGCTGGCCCCACCCCCACAAAAGAACAGCAACCAGAAACTCTGGATTGAGAGTTTCACAGCAAGCGCAGCTGAACCCGGGACGGTCTAGCTCTGTGGGGAAGGGGCGTCCGCCATTACCGAGGCAGCCCGCCGTTGCTGAGGCAGCCCGCCCTTGCTGAGGCAGCCCCCCGTTGCCGAGGCAGCCCGCCGTTGCCAAGGCAACCCGCCACAGCAGAGACTCCGCCCCAACAGAGGCGGGCCACCATCGCCAAAGCAGTTCTAACTACACCCATATAATCAGGACTGCAGGAAAGTTCACTCGGCAGCGGGGCGGAGCCCACAGCAGCTCAGCAAAGCTGCCATAGGCCGACAGTGACTAGGCGGCCTCCTTGCTGGGCTGCGCAGGTCTGAAGGAAAAAAAAAAGAAGGCGGCAGCATAACAGAAACTCATAAATAAAGCCCTAAATCCCTGGGACAGAGCACCTGGGAACAAAAAGCAGTTTATGAGTTCAGCTGCAGCAGACCTAAAAGTACCTGCCCAGCAGCTCTGAATGAACAACAACAGAGCTCACAACTCACCACTTGAGCTCCTATAAAGAAAAGACCGTCTCCT